ATTGATGTATTTCATATATAAATGTATAAAGCAAATATACCAAATTAATTCTCCATAATTAAATTAATAGAATAAAATATTTTATTAATTTATATTAGATTGATACATTTATATTTCATTAAATATGACTTCATTCGATTTAATTTGATAAAATATTAATACATGTTGATTTCATTTGTTTTAATTTGTAACATTTTATAATTTTATTATTTCATATTAATGCACGTTGGTTTAATTAAAATTTAATTTGTTTTATTACCATCATTAAATATAATTAATTTATTTTATTTTATTATTTTAAATTAAAGGATCTATAAATGTTAATAGCATAATAAAATATTTCAATATCAATCAATTTGTCATTGTTAGACCATTATTCACTCATAATTTTTATTATTTCAATATTAACTTTCATAATTTAAAATTATCTTATTAAATGACTATATTTATGTTTTTATTATTGACTTTAAATCACTCTTAATTCAATTCATATTAAAAGTATTAAAATTTTAAAAATTTCTTTATTTGACAAATTAAATCACTCAATATATAATTAATAATTTAATAAATACTACAATTATAATTATAAAATAATCGATTCTCTACTTAATTATTTGATACATTTGTATTTGATTAAATATAGTATCCATTTGAGTAATTGATGTATTTCATATGTAAATATAGAAAGCAAATATGTCAAATCAATTCTCCATAATTAAATTAATGGAATAAAATATTTTATTAATTTATATTTGATTGATAGATTTATATTTCATTAAATATGAGTTCATTTGATTTCATTTGGTAAAATAGTAATTTACGTTTGATTTCATTTGATAAAATATTAATACACTTGGATTTCATTTGTAACATTTTATAATTTTAAAATCTAGATATTAATACACATTGATTTAATTAAAATTTAATTTGTTTTATTGTCATTATTAAATATAATAAATTTAATTAGTTTTATTGTTCTAAATTATGAAATTTTCAAATGTTAATGGCAGAGTAAAATATTTTAATATCAATCAACTTGCCATTATTTGACCATTATTCACTTACAATTTTTATTATTTCAATATTAACTTTTATAATTTAAAATTATCTTATTAATTAACTTACAACACACTTTTTTTTATAAGCAGCTCTAGGTTAAGTATAATGTATCTTTAACCACTTTTCACTAATTTTATATCTTTTGACCACTACTCAACTTTATTTTAATTTTCTCTTTAATTTTCACTTTGCATTATTTCTTGATTTGTGCTGCTAAAATGTTATTCTCTTTTTATACTTATATTTTATATATCTGTAACTATGATATTAGTTTTCTTTTTTTAATATTTTTTGTTGATAATTGATTTAAAGATGATTGGGTATATACAGGGAAAGTCTTTCACCAATAGAGTCATTATCATAAAAGTTGATATCACTTTTGGTTGATACTATATGTCATGTGGGTGTAACAAGAAACTGTATGAATTTATGAGAAATTTCAATGTTATTCCTGCAATGTTGATGTCCCTAATCCAACTCAAGATAATTAGTATTTATATTTTTTTATTTGATACATAAAAAAATTATTATTGTATGATGATAATAAAATTACTTTAAATTATTATATTATATTTATAATAATATAATTTTATTTTTTATAGATAAAAGTTGAATATTGAGACATATGATAATTCTAGAAAGACGATATTCGTACAATTTAATATAAAAGCTAAAGATTTAATTAATAGAGATATTGACGATCTTTATGAAATATTTGTTAAAATATTGAGTTAAAAATTATTTTAATATTATTTAATATTCAAATTAATTGAATGATATATTTATACATATGATTTAGGAAAATGGAGATTATAAAATCCAAAAGATATTTGAAGATTTCAAAGGTAAAATTTGTGTATTCGAGATGCGGGCAATCAAGTATAATCTTGAGACAAGTAGTACTAAACTTACAGTGAATAAGGTGTATGATTTTGATCATAAGCTTGAATGTCAAAAATTATTGGAAGAGGTATATATAAGCTTATTATAATAGTTATATTTGTTATAAAGTTATATAGTTTAGATTATAACTCAACTATTATCAAATTACAAATGGATGTTTTATCTATCTCTTCATCTCAATCTGTGAAATCTATTAGCTTATCAAGTAAAATGATACCCGCTTCAAAGATAGCAAAAAATACTGAAAAATCAATTACAACATCTTCACTTCAACAATAACTTATTAAAGAATCTCCCATAAAAGAGGTTTGTATACGAGATTGATTTTAAGAATGAAATTTTTAATTTCTTGAAATCGAAAACATTATTATTTTTTGTTTAGAGATTGTTTGGATTTAATAAATTATAGTTTGAGTTTTCTTTAGAACTGATGATAATTGCATAAGTATATTTAATATGTAATTAATTAATATTATTATATTAAAAAATATAAATTTAAGTAAAAATGATTATATAAGTTATGAGTTGTTTATAAACTTAATAACTTATATTATCATTTAAAAAAATTTATATTTATATATGAATATATTTTTATGCATCGCATGGGTTTAAAACTAGTTTATTAATAAATTTTATAAAGATTAAATAATTTAAAACTTTTATTACATATAATTTTTAATTTAATATCTTTAATGATTATTTTTTCATTATAATTCATTTCATTGTCATCGTTACTTTTGTATCTAAATATATATCAAATCACTTATTTTAATCTTATAGCAATACTAACTAATCTCACATCCGATATTGTTTTCAATCTCACTAGAACCGATCTCAACACTATCCAAATGGACCCTTAATATAGCTTATAGAGTTAATTGCACCCGTGATTTTTAAACTTTGAGGTAAATTTTATTTTGGTTTCTAATCTTTAAAAAGTTTTAATTAGATCCTTAATTACTCAAAATTATTCTATTTTAGTCATTTCATCTATGAAACCGTTTAAATTAACGATAAGTGCCAACTGATGTTACGTGAATGGCATCAGCTAGAATCTCACGTGACAAATGAAGGAACTAAAATAGAATTTCACTCAATGTTTAGGATCAACGATGCTACTATCTTAAATTTTTATATTTCAAATATATTTTATAAAATATTACATTTAATATAATATTTTTTATATTTTTATTATAATTTAATTTAATAGTTAAATATTTTTATTTTAATAAAAAATAAATTTCAAAAATTAAAATAAAATTAAAAATTTCTAAATCCTTTTCAAAACATATCATTTTAGAACATTAAGAAAAAATTTTATATCATTTTAAAAATTAAATTTCTATATCCTTTCATCTTTTCAATACTTATATATTTCTTGGAAATAAGCAGAACCGACCGTAATAAATTGCGATATGGTCCACAAAGAACAGTCCAATTGATAAAGAGGAGAATTTCCTTTTTTTTTTTTATTAATCAAAGTTTGATTTTTTAAGATGTGAGAACAAAATTATGAATGTACCAAATTGATGTATTCATTTTTAACATTTCATAAAAAAAAATTAGGTCTGAACAAAGAGTTAGGATACTTCTAACCACATAATAATAATAAAAAAAATCATTCTTGAAAGCTATTCTTAGAGAAGGTAAAAAAATCCTTAACCGACGGGTTTCGATTCGATCCGACCTTTTATGATTGATTTTTTTTTTTGAAAATCGGGTATCGGGTCGGGTTTTAGGCAAATCCGATCCTATCCGACCCGATATATATAAATATTTTTTTAATTATTTATTTAATTTTATAATTATTTTTATATATTTTTATATATATATTTAATTTTATATTTATATTAAAAATATATTTTATTAATTTCGAGTCAAGTCAAGTTAGATATGATTTTATATAATGTCGGGTCGAGTTCGAGTATAAAAAATAATAAAAAATTTATCATGTCGAGTCGGATCGGATATGATTTTATATAATGTCGGATCGGGTTCGGATATAAAAATAATAAAAAATTATCAGATCGGATCAGGTTCGGGGCGAGCAAAAACCCGCCCCATCCCACCCGCTGTCATCCCTAGCTATTCTAGATATTTCGATTTTGTTTTCTAAATTAAACAGTTAATCGGAGCAACAATGAATGAATGATGTGCCCCAACAAGACCGTGGGAGCAATATACTAATATATTGCAAGCCTGAGGATCTAAATCAATTTTCAATTTGCAAAAATCTTTTGACTTCAATATGCAAAAATTAACAAGATCCTAAGAGCAATATATAAACAAAGTAATTAATTCTAACTAATTCAACGAATTTTGATTTGCAAAATACTCTTTTTTATATGCAGATGATTTAACTCGAACATATGCACTTTTCAATTTGTAATAATTATTTAACTAAAAAGCCACTCAATTAAATAGCATGTTACTCATTCTTTAATTTAAAAAAAAAAACTATGCTTTTCACATCCCTTACATAAAAGAAGGCCTTGCAAAAGTATTCAAGTTGCCAAATTCCCCGCAATGTTTCACAAAAATAAATATAATATTTAGTAGACTTTGACAATTGTTATATTTTTATCATGTGAAATATTAAAAATTTATATATTTATATTATATTTTATATAAAAATTATATATTATAATTCGTATTATTATAAAAATATAAAATTTATTTATTTATTTTTATTTAAATTTTAAAAAATTTTATTTTATTTTTATATTATTTTTATATCGCATCATTATATTATATTTTATATTATTAAATCTAATATTTAGTAATAGTAGTTTCAACCTTATATAGTAAAAAAAAAATAGTAGTTAATAAAAAATTGAAAACGACCCAAGAAAATAAAGGACAATAGTATAGTATTAATATTGTGCCAACCAAACATAAATAATTAGTGCTGAGTTACCACGCTCATGGCTCATTGGTCATGGATTCAGGATCTCTTAGCCATGCCCCTAACACTCTTATATAAAAAGCGTACCCGCTTTTCTACTGGCTCACCTTCTTTGTCTTCTCTGTCTTTTTTTTTTTTTTTTCACTATTAGGAAAGTTCCTTAATTCCCTTGCAGCTGGTTCCCAAGCAAAGCTTAACTTCAATGGCAAAGCGCCAGAGCACCTGTTTTTTCCTATGCTGTTTTCTGTTCATTCTTGTTTACACCTCTGCCCAAAGCAGACAACCTTACGGTGAAGAACAGGCGGTACGGCAGCAGCAAGAGGCTGACAGAGTCACAAACTTGCCTGGACAGCCAGCCGTGAAGTTTAGGCACTTTGCTGGGTACGTGAAACTCCGGCCTCAAGACCAGAAAGCGTTGTTCTACTGGTTTTTTGAAGCCCAAAATGGGGCTGCTCGCAAGCCTCTTGTTCTTTGGCTTAATGGAGGTTGGCATCTTCTTTCTATGTGTCTCTTCAACGTTTTTTTTTCCTCTTTCTCTTTCTCCGTAATTCACTTGTTAATTGCTAGCAAAGACCAAAAACGAAACAGTTTTCAAAGTATTTTTGTCGTGTAAAAAACCTTGATAGGAGCGGATGATGACTGGTCAAATTTTTTCCACAGTAAGGGATGAGAATATTTGAACCGTCATCACTTTTCAACGGCTAAGTGAAGAAAAGAAAAAACAAAATATTTTAGGGAATGTATGTGACACTGTACACTGTACTGTACATCTACACTGATGTTGCTTCATATAAATTTTTTTAAAGTTGATATTGTCTAAATTTTAAATTTATATTTAAATTTTATATGTTATTTTAAATTACGATCTTTTAAGAAAAAACTGCGCTGTTTTTTCAGGGCAATAATCATTTGTTCGTTTGTGTGCCGAAAAACTTAAAAAAAATATATACAATTAGTTTTGGCCATTTTTGTATTTTCTTTTATTTTAGTTTGAATGTACAAAATTTCTGCAACCTTTCTATATCAAGTATTTGATTGCTTATTCTTGCAGGTATATATTTGTGTATTTTTATTTATTTTTCTTGTTCAGTTTGTCACTTCATTGAGAGGATTTAAACCTTTCAAAATTGGGTTTTTTATGCATGATTTTCATGATTTGTTAAACAATTTCAATTTCATTATCAGAAACTACTAATAATGAATGAAGATAAATGACCCATACAAAATTGATTGCAAGAAAATCTATGGGTCACATAAATTTCGATAATTGACTACAAAAATTTTCCCTACCATCTGTACTAATACGTATTATACTAATACAAGTTTGAATTTGGCCCAAAATTTTTGTTAATTTGAAAGAAAAAAGTCGCGTGCATACATTCGTTGCACGCCTTGACCCTACCTATGACCTTTGAGACTTTAACTGGATAAGGACATCTACTATTGCATCAAGAAATATCAGCCGTCTAAACAAGGGCCAACTTGTGTGATGCATGCTTTCACTCTTCTTCTGCTGCCCTTCTTTTCTTTGTGAAATTGCTTCTTCTCTTTTGCCTAGGAGGACAAATTAATTCTGGGTCCCCTGCTTGCGCAACCTGACGGACAATTCTCTCCTGTCAAAATTTCGGGTTGGGACCCAACTGCTCCTCCAATTCTAATAATGCATTAGCCGTATTCACTTTTTTCCCCACTCGTTCTTTTCTACACCACAGCTTTCATCTTTTTTTAACAAACATCTGTTTATTTATTTATTTATTTTTAAAAGTTATAGCTTAGCGACAAAGAAAGAATTATAAATATTAGAATTGAAATGTTTAATTTATTAAATATTTAAAATTAATTAAATTAAATTTTAAATTCATGTCAGTTTACGTTTCATAGAATTGATTATTTTTCTTGCAGATTAACTAGACAAATATGGATTAGAATCAATAATTTAACATAGTTTAGATCAAAAGTAATTTTAAGGATGAAATGGTTATTTATTTATACTTCTCTATACCATTAGTAACCAAATTGACAATGTTTTTAGGACCTGGCTGCTCATCAGTGGCCTATGGAGCTGCACAAGAACTTGGTCCATTCCTTGTTCGTAGCAATGGCACTCAGCTTAGATTTAACAAATTCTCTTGGAACAAAGGTAGTCAATTTGCTACAATGATAAAGTTTCATGTACTTCCATTCAGATATATTCTAAATCTCGATATCAGATACTCACACCTTGTTGCTATGGTTAGTTGCAAATATACTGTTTTTGGAGGCACCAGTTGGAGTGGGATTTTCGTACTCCAACAATTCTGAAGATGTACGTAAACTTGGTGATCAAATTACAGCTGCTGACTCTTACACTTTCTTAATTAATTGGTTCAAAAGGTTTCCAAACTTCAAGTCCCATGAATTTTACATTGCTGGAGAGAGCTATGCTGGTATGGGTACCTTTAACTTTGTGCTAAATGTCCTGTCATTTTCCGTAGATTTCTGGTCTCCTCTCCTCTGGTAACTTTTTTCTTCACCATAGATGAACATGCACTTTTTCTTTTGCTTCTGTCAGGTCATTATGTTCCCCAGCTGGCTGAACTCATTTTTGAGAAAAACAAAGGATATGGGAAAGACTCCTACATTAATTTCAAGGGATTCATGGTATAAATTTGTTGTTCTGCTATGTTCCCCAGCTGGCTGAACTCATTTTTGTTCTGCTAGTAGTAAATGCTATTTGTAAACTTTTGAGATATTTCAACATGAACGGTACCGCAATGATTAATTCTTTTGGTTAAAATCCAGATCGGCAATGCTGCCATCAACGAACCAACTGACACCATAGGCCTTTTTGATTACGCTTGGAGTCACGCGATCATTTCAGACCAACTCTATGATAATATAAACAAGGATTGCGGTTTTAAAGAAAGCAGTAACCAAACTGACCAATGCGGACAACATTTGATGAGATTCATGGAAGCTTATTCTGACATTGACATGTACAGTATCTACACTCCCGTTTGCCTTAACTCCCCCGGAAGAACCTATCCCAAACTCCTAGTTGCTTCTCGTCTCCTCACCCAATATGTAAATCCCAACAAATTTTGTTATATTACAATTTTTATATGCACAGTAATTTTGCTAACTTAATATAACTTGATTTGATTTAGGAGCTTTGGCATAAGCTACCATCAGGCTACGATCCCTGCACAGAAGATTATGTAGAAAAATATTTCAACAGAAAAGATGTTCAGAGTGCCCTGCATGCTAATCTCACAAAGCTTCCCTATCCCTACGCTACATGCAGGTAAAACTAGACTACCCCATCCATATTTTAAAATTAATCTCTCTCTCTCTCTCTATATATATAAGATTATTGTTTGTGAAACATAATTACTCTGCTTGACAATTTCGTAATTTACTTTCAAAAATGTGTCAAATTAACTAACCTATAGTACATGACAATTTCAAATTTACTAGTACTACTACTACTGTACCATATTCGTTCTGCTCTATGTAAAAAAAAAAAAAAAGCCTCTTAGTGTACCCTGAGAGAGAGAGAGAATGGTGGCCAGCGAATCCTGGAACTTTCGAGCATTTAATGAGAGCATGTGTCAAATCATCCAAGTCGAGCTTTCTTTCTGTTAGCCTGCCACATAAAATTTAAAGAGTGAGAGACAACAGGTGGGATTTTTACCTTTCCTTTACACTTTTGTTTATGGCACCCAAACTACTCCTCTCAATCGTTCAGTCTGTTAACGCCCCAAACAACCCCCCCCCCCCAAAAAAAAAAAATCATTCAAACTGTTAGAAAGTAAGAAAAAACACAAAAAAAAAAAGTTAAATGTTATTCTATTCTAGAACATAAAGTTATTGTGGGGTCAATGGGTGATCCTTGTTCATGGGAGTGTTGAATTTCAAAATTTACCTTCGGTTTTCATTTCTCTAATCCAAATTTCAGAACGTCAGCTTTTATATGACATTTTGGATAATAGCAATGTCTCTCATGGCACTTCAACCAAAAGTAAAATTAATTTTATTCTATTTCCCATCACTCTATTTATCTAACCCGAATACCTAGAGTATTGACTTTTCTGTAACTAAATATGGGCAGTGATGCAATCGAGGACTGGAATGACTCTCCCAGTTCTGTGTTGCCCATCATCCAAAAACTCCTCAACGCTGGCTTTCGTATTTGGATATACAGGTACATCATATGTACAAACATTTTCTTTCCAAGCAAGGTAAACGGAATTCAATCAAGTTTGGGTGTGATCTAATGTAATTTGTGGTCGCAGTGGTGATACTGATGGGAGGGTGCCAGTCACATCAACGAGGTACAGCATAAACAAGATGGGGTTAAAAATTAAAGAAGAATGGAGGGCATGGTTCCACAAGAGCCAAGTCGCTGGATGGGTAGAGGTGTACGAAGGAGGCCTGACGTTTGCCACGGTGCGCGGTGCGGGTCATCAAGTCCCGATCTTCGCACCTGATCAGTCCCTTTCTCTACTTGCCCATTTCCTGACTGCCAACATCTTGCCATCTTCACGTTTCTAGCTACCCGGCTGCTGCCTAGCTTAGACTATATAGCCAGTAGGGCAGTAGCTAGCCATTTGTGTTGCTGCTTGCCATTATGTTCAGCATAGTTTGGATGGTTCTATCATAATTTTTCTTAATTTCTAAAAGAATTTCTATAGTAGATATCTTTATATTGCCTTACAAAAATAATCAAGATCAAGTAAGCCAAGAAAAATCATTAATGACTTTTTTTTCTTTTCTTTATGATTAATTAAGTTAAATATGTAATTTAGAATTAATTGATAATAAATAAAAAAATTAATTTGAATATAAAATTAAAAAAGTTTAATATTTAATAAATATAAAATAATATCATTTTAACATACTCCCATTTACAGATAATAAATTAAAAAAAATATAGGCAGTAATTTTAACAAGCCTCCATCAATAAATGTAATTTTCAAGAAGAGATATAAAATAAGACATTAACAAAATAAAACCAGAACTTTAATACCGAATTAATTAAGCATCCATCTTATAATAATACATGGCATTGAGCTATCGTTTTCTTTAATCCTGATCCAGGGTGGGCAGATTTTGTCTTCCACAACAGGTTAGATAGAAGACAGTACAAAGTGCAATGTCATATTTTAGCAAGCTGCGTAAAGTAATTGAGGGGATTTAGTAAGTAGTGGGTGCAGTAATTTTTAACATTGAGAAATGCGTAACCTTATCCAAATAATGAGAATACTTCCCCAAAAGCCATACTTTTATGACAAAATTGGATGTATAATATTGTCATGCCTGAATCCTGATACGGCAAACTCTTTCTTATTAACAATCGCAAAGCAAATGAGGTTATATAAATATTGGAAAACCTCATCACTTAAGAAAGATACCATAGACAGTGATATTATCTATTGCAATTGTCGAGCTTTCTTAGTTGTCGGATTGAGCTGACTTTTGTCTCTTTTTATGATTTTTATGCATTTGTTATAACTCTTGCTTAGACAGGTGAAGCTTTTCCTTGGGTAATATGTCGTAATGTTCATAAAAAAATCTAGATGGTAAAATTTGTTGTCGAGCTTTATTGGCTATCGGATTGAGCTAATCTTTGTCTCTTTTTATGATTTTTATGCATTTATTATTACTTGCATAGACAGGTGAAGCTTTTCCTTGGATAATGTCATAATGTTCATAAAAAAATCTATATGGTAAAATTTGTTGGATAAACTTTAATCGTTCCATCATATATATATATTCACCCATCTTGAGGTAGCATTAAAAATTCCTCATTTTCTTTGACCATTACTTGATCTTACAACTATACACATCTCTTTAGAGAAATAAAAAAAAATCTTTATTTTTTATTTAAAATTATCAAAATTTATACCTTAATATAAAAGATGTTCCCGTTTGGTATTGAACGGACAGATAAGCAATGTAAAAAAAAAATAAAATTAAGGGATAATTTTGAAAAAAATTCTCTAGAAGGTTCCAGTTTGGTCAAGCTTCTGGAAGCTTCTCCAAAAGCTACCGAACGATTCCCACATAGAAACCCATCGGCCACCCACCAAAACCCATTCAATTAACCTCAACCCCGAGCCCCCTGCACCACAACCCATTCCCCTCACCATTGAAAATCCTTAGCCCCTCAACTACCCTAGACAACCTTTTCTTTCACCATCATACCTGAAACCAGGCCACCCTAAAACAAACCAAAGTTGTCAAAGAGGAAGCTGTAAAAAACAGTTCAAAAAAATCACCTATAAAAAGTAAGAAAAACCATATCCCCAACGTGGAGAAACAGTGCCATAAACAGTCAATAAGAAAAAAAAAGTGTGAAAGGGTGTTAGTTTTGAGGATTTTTGGGTGATTTGGAGATATTTTGTAAGAAAAGGAAAGTGAGGTCATTTTTGGATCGCAAGCAGTGGCACAACCCACGTGAATTTTTGGGGTGATCGGGAAAAGTGAAAATAAAGAGTGAGAAGAAAGTAGCAATATACTAAAATTTTAGGAGAATCAGATTAAGAAGAGAAGATATTTTAAGGCTTAAAAGTTTAGGTTTTAATTTCAAATCTAGGCTTTTAGGGATTTTTTTGAAAAAAGGGAGTTTAAAACTGTATTAAGGGGTTGAAACAAGTCGAGGGTGAAAATTTGGGGGGAAAATGATGCCGGTTGATAACAGCAAGCTTGCCAGAATCTGGGTCCGGTGAGAGCTTTTATTTTTTTTAAAGAGAAAAGAGTTTTTTTTTAAAGAACAAGTAGGAGAAATGAAAAAAAAATTGGGTTTTATAAAGTGTTAAAAAAAAAAAACCCGACCTAAATGCCTCTTCCTCCACAAGATTTTTTCTTTTTTTACTATTTATGATATTAATAGGTTTTCAGATCATGTGACATTGCATGGAGATAAGAAATGACATGTGTCATGTATTTGTCAAAAAAATAAATAAAAGAAAGGAGTAAAAAGTTCGTGATCTTAGATTTCTCTATAAAGAAACCTTTGGATTATCGTTCAACAAAACTTCTATAAAACACTCGGTAAATATTTTCAATGGATGAATCTTTCATGTATTTTTATGCAAATGGATGCATGCTTTCTGGAGTAATTTAATTATCTATGATTCTGTGTGACTTTATTGTAGGTGGATTGATCCTCTTAAAGCCTGATTGTGGTGGGCCACTCCAGTTTGCAACAATAACATCTTTCTCGAGTAAATTATACAACGATTATCTTACTTTTTTTCGTAAATCTGGTTGGAATTGTACCAATGATGTTTTTTTTTTGAAATGTTACAGACCTTTTCCACTTCTCATGCAAGTCAATGTTGGCCACTGGAGTTAAAGAGATTCATTGCAGAAAACAAAAGAAACTAATCACTCTGCTCTTTTTTGTGCAGAACATTGTTGTTTTTAGATATGTTTGTTGTTTCATCAATTGTTTCTGTTTCTCATGCATTGTTAAGACTGTTGGTTTTAGTTGTCATTGGGTTTTCTGGATATCAATTTTGTGTTTGATTTTTTTTTTTTTTTGGTTATGCATGATGTGTTTTTTTTTGTTAAGCTATTTTTTTTATATGGGTTAGTAAGTGTCAATTGTGAATTAATGGAAACTATTAATTTTATGTTTAATTTTTTTTTCATGTATGTTGTTTTATGGGTTTTGAACTGGTATTATTGTGTCAATGTTGTGTTTGCTAGAGTAATCTAAAGGCATAGTAAGATAAATTGTGATATTTGTTAGGGGGCCCCTAACTTTAATTAAATACGGTTGAGAAGTTTGAACTCACATTAATTGAGATAAGTTAATTTCTCACATGTAAATGATTGTATTTTATTGAAATTGACATCTATTAATAATTTGTTGTATTCACATACTCATGGTATTAATTATTTTTAGTCATTTGCTTATTTGGTAATTAAAGTATTTTTTATTTAATTAATTGCTATATGATATTGGATGCAAACGTTTAATGTGCAATTGGATACAAAATTGGTTATTTGCTTTTATAAGAAATGATTTTAATAGAATAATGGAGTTTTTATTGGCTTTTACATTATTTACTAATCTTATTTGCTTTTCTTCTTAAGATTTGTGTGGATTTTGTGATTTATAATACTTGAATGAATAGCATATATGTTTTGCTAAAACCTATTTACATTTTACATGTTTAAATCCCTAATGATTTGCTAAGGTGAAGACGGGATGTTAAGTAGAGTTTTTGTATCCAATGATGTTATGTAGTTGCTTTTTGTTGTTTTAACTAATCTGGGTATTGCCACCTAATTGGAGGCCAATTATGGATAAAATGAGGAGGAAAGGTTTGAGGCTTAACCATTGAATGGTTCAAAGTTCAATGGTTTACTGGCAGACCCATAAAAAAAATTCAGGTAGCTTTTGCAATTGATGGAATCCTATTCCTGACTACACTTTCCATTGCCAAAGAACTTTTTCTAGTATCATCACTTTATCATTTCCTACTTTTGTATAGTTAAGATTCTATATAATATTGTTGTCATAATATATAGATCAATAGATCTACTGTTAAATATATATTTTAAGAGTCATCATCAATTTTATTTTATTTAGATGTAATTGGTCATCTAACTGAATCTGTTTTATTTTAAAGAGAAATCTCAAACTTGATTCGAGTATTTTTAAAAGGTATATTCTAGTATATAAAACTAGATTTTAGGCTCAAGAGTGTGGTTATATATGAAGAAGGTTATAACACATTCTCAACACCCATATAAAAGATGGTACTAGTTTGATTTTAAATTATCCAATCCATAAAGTCTATTGTAATTTCACTAAATAATTTAATTATTGAAAATTGATCTTAAGATTACTCTAATAGTTTAGTAGTAATTTAAGATAATTTTTTTACTTCAGGAGTGTTCATGGAGACTAGTGTTCCACTTTAAAGAAGCTCCATCGTCATATTCATTTAATATTTTTTGTTGTAAAAAAATTTTTAGTTATGAAAACAATTTATTCTTAGAAATATCTTTCAACATGTTGGTAAAATTTTTTGTCAAAAATTATCCTCCAATATGTTTGTAGGATTTGAATTTTTTTTTTTTTGTGAAAACAATTTATTTTCAGAAATATCTTCCAATATGTTGGTAAGATTTTTTGTTCAGAATTATCCTCCAATATATTGACAGGATTTGAAAATTTATTTTGTCAAGAAAATTCATTAAGTCCTTTAATAGTTTGATAAGACTTAATTCAATATTTAAATCCTTCAATAATTTGATAAGATTAAAAATTATTTTTTAAAAACCATTTTTTAAATTTAAGATAAAAGAAAAAATTAAAATAAACCAAAATTATCATGCAATATTATGCAATAATATAGTATATCAATTACAAATTATCATGCAATTAATTAATAATCATGCAATATCATGCAATAATATAGTATATCAATTATAAATTATCATGCAATTAATTAATAATCATAAAAAAATAATATTATTAAAAATAAATAAATAAACAATGCATCATAAATAATATTACCAAATTTTCTTTTTTTTTCTTCATTCCTTAATCTAATAATAATAATAATAATAATAATAATAATAATAATAATGAAAGACATAAAAAATCAAAAAATGAAAATATATAAAGAGAAAAAAAATAAAAAAATCACAAACAAAAATAAGAAAAAGGAAAAAAGAAAACCTGCCAATTAGGCTAGTCACCAGTAGGGTTGGCATCGGGTCGGGTTTTGCTCGCCCCGAACCCGACCCG